GTATTACACCTTATTTAAAATCAACGTGGTCCCACGGCCCTCTGTGGCCCAAAGTTAAAAACTGTTGTTCTTTGGGGCCCTCAAGGTGGCGCTCACGGCCCACAATTTGGCCACGGCCCATAGGTTAAGAACCTCTGTTGTAAATGACATGATGACTCTCAGCTACCACCACACCAAACCTCAGTTCAGCAGGCCTACCACTGACTCATCTTGAGCTGTCAATCACTTAGACTGACAGCTAGTTATTCTATTCTGAGAGGTTCATTAAAATCCATCCAGTAGTTCCTGAGATATTTTGCTAACAGTCAGACAGAAACATTAAATGTAGCCGTTACATGCCGTGCTACTTCGTCACGGGGAAGACTCGTGAGTCCAGCAGCAGGTTTCAGAGAGCTGGAAGTGAAAAGAGCTGGAACCTATTTCACATTAACACGTTCACATGTTGCCCCGCAGCAGAAACTGAGCCAAGTCCAGCTTTATGTTAGTGAGCAGCTCCAGCCTGCTTATTAAACCCAGCTGCAAAAAAATAAATCACACTTTCTCACTTTTTATGGAGCTCTGCTTGTCAGTAGGTGGGAGGAATGTGAGGGAAATAATTTAAACTTTAGATTAAACAGATGTTATGTGGTCCTACTCACTTTGTGTTCTGATCAGAGCTGTACAAATACTTGTAAAAATAACTAAGTAAAAATATCTTAACAGAATGAAATTTAATAAAGTCATGTCAGTGGGTTACCCTTAACTGAACTGCGTAAAGCTGACACWTTTACTTTACTGTATATTAGCATATACACATGTAAACGTGTAACCAGGTGTTTAATTTTAAAGTAAATAAGAAAGTATCATTTTATGTTTTGATTGTAATGATATACAGTAAAAGTAAATAAACAATAATGGTAAAAAATTACTAATCCAAATAAATAAAAAAATAAAATAACTGTAGTACTTTGAGGTATATGTACTTGCTACAGTCCAACTCTGGTGTTTTACTCCCTGAGTTTCTGACTGATTCTGAATTTATCTTTCTCTCAGGATGAAAAGATGAAGACTCAGCTCGGTGATTTTTAACATTTTGTTGTTAATAAAAAATAATGTAACAGATCGCAGATTCAACCAATGAGCTAAAAACTAAATAATTAAGGTGGTTAACTTGAAGAATACTACTTCATGGTGATCCCAGTGGTCATGTGTTTCTGCAGTGGTCCTGTGTTTCTGCAGTGGTCCTGTGTTTCTGCAGTGGTCATGTGTTTCTGCAGTGGTCATGTGTTTCTGCAGTGGTCCTGTGTTTCTGCAGTGGTCCTGTGTTTCTGCAGTGGTCCTTTGTTTCTGCAGTGGTCATTTACTTCTGCAGTGGTCCTGTATTTCTGCAATGGTCATTTATTTCTGCAGTGGTCCTGTGTTTCTGCAGTGGTCCCTTGTTTCTGCAGTGGTCCTTTGTTTCTGCAGTGGTCATTTAC